AAGCAACAGCACTTAAAGCATTATTGGAGTTGGAGGTATTGAGAAAATAGATTTGCAAAAAATTACAAGCACCATAAAACCAAATGTAATAAAGAGACCTCAGACTTTCGTGGTATGTAGGTGAACTATACTAAATATAATACAAAACTACTGAGTTCCCAACTGCCTTTGAGCCACACATTTTCTGCAGACTTCTCTCTAGCCAAGAAATCTCAATTCCACATTGCAAAGTTTTGAAAACTATTAATATTTCACACATTATAGTGGAAAGCACTTCTCCCCACCATCTACACTGAGACATATATTTATTAAGTGCTGACAACTTTCACAAGACTCTTAGGGAGATCTGGTCCTTATTCTGTGAATTTACAAAAAGCAGGCTGAAGAAGCCAGGAAACACAACTGTGTTTTATTATTATTTAAATAATGAATTTGCAATAGCATTTTACTCTGGAGCGATAGTAAGCCTTACAGGCAAATGCCTCCTTCAGTAAAGGTTCAAAAATTACTTTTGTTTAAATAACAGCTGGTCTTACCTATACGGACTTAAATGAGCCATCCGTGTGGAGATGAACTTGTTTGACTTTGGGTAAGAAAGATTAAAAAAACATCAATTCTAGTTAATATCCATTTTGGTCCCTCTACACAGATGGGAAAAATAACATTAAATTACCATGCGTACATACGGTCAACACCAGACACCCAATAAAGCACAAATTCAAAGCCCTGCTCATAACGCGACGGAACGCTGCGTCGGTCCAGCAGAGCAGCTCAGCTGCAAGTTTGCCTGAAACAAAAGAGATTTACATTCATTTCTTCACTTTGCTACAGATTTCCTGTGTGACCTTGGACAAGGCACTCAGGTTTTCCCCATCCCTTTGACGGGGAAAAAATAATTTATTTCATAACCTTACAGCAGTAAGCAGATTTACTATCAGGACATGCTTAGATACAGAAGTCAAATAAATGACATAAAGAGAATAAACAGTACTTAAAGCTTTAATTAACTTCTGCTCAGGCTTTGGAAACTTCGTCACAGTGACAGAAGGAAAGCTTTAGCACAACTCGCGCAAGTGTTATCTACAGTCAAAGGTCAGGTCTGCCGACGTAGCAAGGCGGAACCACATTTTGACATCTGCAGACAGTCATGGATGCTGACTTCCATGACCCAAAAGACACAACACACTCCTCTGCCACCAACATATACCGGAGACCAGAAGTCCAAAGTCTCTAAGTACCTTCTCCGAGTCCTAAAACAAGAGTTATAACTTTCTGATGTAATACAAAGTAGAAGAAATCACCAGGTACTCTTAAAAGACTTAAAACACTTCAGGTCCAGTTATTCTTGAATTTATATTAACCACTGCCTACCTTTTGAACCTGAAAGTCGTATTTAACCTTCATAACTCAGTATTAATATCAGAAGTCAAAACCAACTTGCGGACAACAGAAACTACTGACTTCTAGAGCACCAGCCTACGAAAAATGATGAAGAACAGTAAAAACGATTCAGAAGTAGCCGAACGCCACGCGAGGACAGCATTGCCTTCATCAGGAACCCACAAACTTGTGACATGTATTAAATGCAGCTTTTTAGAAAATGTCTTCAAGTCCAAAAATCTACTTTTTTGAATACAGGCCAAATAGTCTGCATTTCCTTGCACACATTCTGCACCTCTGTACAAGTGACTGTACTAGCCTGGTAAAATAAAAAATCACAGCCTGGAGAGTGAGACATGAGGGGCAAAGGGATTACAGGAGATGATGAAGCAGTCAGTCAGACACAAGCACAGGTAACCATTTGGAGGACACAGGCAAGCTATGGAAAATCAGAAGCAAGGCAACTATTGAAGGGAGAGGAAGTTCTGGGATAAACTTTCTGTCATACTACCCACACATGTGTAAAAGCCGCACAGCTGCTCAATCACAGGGTGTTCAGTGTGCTTGGGGTTTGGCTTTTGGTTTTGTTCTTTGGTTCTTTTCAAACAGATGATCTGTGGGTTACACACATGAAAATACGGTCCACTACAAGCTACAAAAATAAAAATGAAACTCATTTGTTATTTAAGCTATTCTGTTTGAAATATCAAATGGTTTTCATTATTTGTAATTGCATCTTATATGTGGTGTTCTGTAAGAAGAAAAATAAACCAGTTCTTACTAAAAAATCATTTACAACCTAAAGCTTTTTCTGTCAATATGCAGAGCTGTTCTGGGATGTGTTAAATGTCTTGAACTCCCATTACTGTAATAAGACTGGAAGAAGAACAGCGCTTTGCAACTGGGCCAAAAATTAAAGCACAGCCAGCAACGAACTGCTGTCAAACACCAGGCACGGAACAGGGGAAAATACAAAGATGGTGGTGAGGGGTGCAAGAACAATCATCCAGTAGGAAAAAAGAATCTGATGTTTCCAATATAACACAAGACGCACTTTTGGTCACACATTTTCAAATGTGACTTCTGAGACTTTGGGCCCCCTGAAGTCAATGACAGAATAGGTAGAACCTGACATCGTATATAGCTCCCTGAATATGCAAGTTTTGAGATCAGTCTTGCAGGAGAGAGTGAGATGCCTTAAAGGAGAGGACTGCCCTGCCCTCTCCTCCAGTGACACCCAAAAAAAGTCTGTAGGGGCACAAAGACAGAAGAGAGCCGAGGGGCTGGAGGTCAGAAGAAGGGTGATGATAAACAAAGCTACGAAGGCAGAAAATTAAAACTGAGGTCTAGAACTATGTACTTCATACCCCCCTCACAGCACACTAATAATGTTCATACAAAAGGCAAGGCAGGGGGGGCGGGGAGGAAAGCGGTGACACTGTTAGCAGGCTTCCCCAGAGCACATTTTGGCAACCTTAAACATCACACAGCAAGCAGAGTCTCTCACTTACTTAATCTCCACACACTCACAAATTGACTATTCCTCTTTCTTTTTCCACAAGAAGTAACTTTCTCCGTAAACTGCAATATCTGAAACTCATGTCTCTGTTGCAGCAATCTGCACCTGCCCCCCTTTCACAAACCAGCTGCTACAGAAGCAAACTCTCAGTGTTTGACCACGTTAGCCATAAGCAGAACTGCTCTCCCTCACTCTCGGTGCCGAAGTGGGATGACTTCACCCCAATATGAGCAATAACAGAACTCCTTTGGTCTCACTCACACACACAAACCTCTCCATTCACATCTTCCTACTTATCGATATATTGAGACAGCAACAATCACACCACTTTCTCGTATTATTTGCAAGAGTTGCCGGCCTTCACTGTCACTCATTTGAAGGTTGGAAGGAATGCAGAGTACTTCTAATAGCATTATGGGCAAAGATTAATTGTTAGCACTTGTACTGTGAACTAATTTTTACTATTAGAAATATTAAAAAAGGCTAAAACAACACCAACTTACTATATGGGCCTTGAAGTACATTATCCTTGCTGATCTATGCAATTAAAAAAAGAAAACCAGAACCATGCTCTATTTTGACAGGTAGTCTGCTAGCCCATCTTTCCTGCGAACGATGCCAACTGAAACAAGGCCAAATTAAGGTTCTAACATTATTTACACAAACCTTCAGATGAAACCTGCAATCTGACGTACTTGTACCTCATCACAACTTTTGGACATATTTGCAAAGTTAAGACTGCAGTCCCAGAACCTTGATCATCCAGGCTCAGTAACCCAGTGAGCACGCCCCAGTACCTTTCTGAGCTGTGCTTCTGGGTTTCTTTCCCGTGAAAATCAGGTTAAGGTGGGAGGAGGGTGGGAAAACACGTGGATTTCATCCTGACACAGAGCCTGAATGCAGACAGGACAGACACCTGCAACCCATGAACTGGAAGCTCTTGTAGTATTCAGGTAGTCATTACTGTTGCTAAAACAACATTGTAACAGCTAAGGGTTTCAGAGCTCATCTGTTATCTTCCAAACAGCATAAAAATCTTAGCAGCAGCCTAGACCTTAACTCACATGTCTCATCCCATCCCTTCTTTTATTAATTACGATCATTGGGACTGGTACCAAAAGAGTGGCTCTGGACCTGCCAGGCTAGCCTTTGTGCTAATGCATCTGTGCAGACTAACGGCAGCAAAAAGCTTCGTTAAAAACGGCTCCTGCATTCGTGGGTGGCAACTCAATACTAAAAAGACCAACTTGAATAGTTATTTATAAACAGAACTTTCCCTGATTTCTTCTGTTACCAACACCAAAAGGCCTCAGACCTCAGCCAGAGCAAGAAGACAGTTGTGCTTTGGCAACTACAGTGAACACAGACTGGATGGACCAAAAGCCACTTTCCTCTCGAATGAACAAGCACAACCGTAGATGTTACACTACTACTGTCTCCTTTCCAAACACAAAGAGGCTCAGGCCACCACGCAATGAGCCAAATCAACTTGCTAGATGCTTCAAACAAACAGCAAGTTTCTAAAACATACTTAAAACCAAGCTGCTTTATAAAGGGCAACAGAATACCCCTACTTTTAATTTCATCACCTAACACGTGGGCTCCCATAGGGTACTCACGGAGTGATGAATTCGTGCCTCTCTCCAAGCTAAAAAGCTCATAGCATTTACTATTCTCCGTTTCCTTGGCAGGACTCTTATTTATATAAGATTAGTGCAGTCAGGCATTAGATTTACAAAGCGGAAAAAACAAACAAGGAGAAAGTTTTCACACTCTTCTTTATAGGACAGTTCCAGAAACATACACGCAAAACAGTGTAACAGATTGAATCGCAATTGTTAAAAGAGAAAAACAAACAAAAAACCCAAAACAACTCCCAAACACAAACAGAAAACTTGTATCAAAACACTTATCATCTCTGGAGGCCCTTCCACCTGAAAACTATTTAATCGCATCCAAGCATTCACAAAACTACCGTCGACCACATAAACAGCCATTCCTCTGCGCCATCCAGAGCCTCTGAAGACAGGTACAACACATACGGGCACATTTCAGTCCCTCGCTTTCCCCCACCCTCCTCAGGTAAAGAATTGACACTGACCTGCAGTTGGGAGGTGGATCTAAGGTGATGTCAGCCAATTCCTTCTGAATCCTGTGGCAATAAAAGCGAGAAGGAACACAGGTAAGTTACTGTGTGGGACAGTAGTTAACACACATGCCTTACAGACCCACTGTCACCACGAGTTTGCAGCATTGCATAAGAGAGGCACTCTCAGCTGCAGCCTCCCACCAGTCCAAACCCACGAAGCAGGACAGGCTCCCTGTGACAGAGATGGACAGAAAAGCAGACGGGCACTGAGCCCAGGCAGGTGCTTAAAGATGCCAATCACACAGGGGCAGTGGGACAGTTTCCGCTTTACTTTGCCGAACAGCCCATAAGTGAGGAAAAACCTCTGCAAATGTGAGGCACTAAGTGCTAAGAGGAAACTCTAATCTGAAAAAGGAATTTTATCTTGCTGGATTGAGAGAAACAGTCGTTGCTAAACTGGCTCCCCTCCCTCTCCCCAGCAGCTTCCCATCATCATCCTGAGAAAAAACAGCAGCCCCAAGGGAGTGAACAACCACATGGTTCCCAAGGACACTTAGAGGAAGGTGAGTATCTATTTCCCAGGCTCCTACACATTCCTGCCACCTTCAGTTCTCCCCTCTCTTCACCTTCAAGAGACAGACAACATCCCCACATCCACTCCCTCAGGACTCCAGACGCTCCCTCTCTCTTCACCGCGTTCAGACAACACCCTGTCCTCCTTGCCCAGACTATTCTGGGCTCACACTGCTTTTGCCACAAAAAGCCCAACCAGCTATCATCCTCTTCCCTGGAGTCCCATTACTGTCACTCAGGCTTCTCCCCCAGCTTTCCCCACCCAGCACTCAGTCTGCCTCCCTCCTCCTATAAACTCATCTTCTGCCTCTCTTCCACTCGTCATACACAAGAACCACAGCCTTTTCATACCGTGCAGTTCACAATCTTTTATCTTCTATTTTTTTTAAAACAGCTAAGGGCACGACACATAAACACCGTCTGCTGCTATCTATGTCAGTTTGCCACGAAAACCTGCTGAGTGGAGATCTGGAATAACCAAACTGCCTAAATTCTACAAAGCCACAGAGAACTTAGTTGAGATGACAGGGTATTTGCATAAAACCCCAGTCACTTTTGACACATACGGATACAACCTCCCTGTTCTGCCTGGTAAAGCTCTTCAGTGAGACAGTTTATTATCCTTACTGAGGTAGTGCAAGTTTGCTTGAAAACTTCCATTTGTCAGCTTAGCTCCCTAGCACAGGATGGTACCGATTTCAGGTACAACACAATAAATAAGAAAGGATAACAAGGGGTTTTTGTTTTGTTTTGTTTTAAAAAACCACCTGAGTGGCTCCAAGAGTCTGTCTAGGTGAAGAAAACTGATTGATGTAGCTGTTCTGGAATTACTATTCTATGCAGGTATCTTTCCTCCATGTAGACATTATTCTGGAATTAAAAACTCCATCCCACTCTGTGCTGTTAGCAAAGACTATTTCAGAGCAGAATGTCCACAAGTGGACCTGCTGTGGATTATTTATTCTAGTCAACATCCAACCATACACAGAAAATGCAATATAACAGATGAGCAGACAGAAAAACAGTAACACATTTGGTGGAAAAGATTCAGAGCTATGTTACACCACTTCAGTGTACTCCCCCAGTGCAAGCAAACTCAAAACTCTTCACAAACATTAATTAATCCCCAAGGCAGTCCTGGAAAGAAAAAAGCCACTCTAAATCAATCCCAACCAAGAGAAAGGGAAACTGACGTTGAAGTGTAATGCTCTACTCGGGACCACAGAGTTTTCAGTAGCAGAGAAGGAATTAAGGTCTTACATGTCAATCCTACACCATCCCTATAACTAATGCTAGTAAGGAAAAAGGAAAAGACAATGAAAATAGTTGAGGGACAGAATAACAGCCTGGAGGAAGAAAGACAGGAAAATATTTGGGACGGAACAGAAGAAGCAGCAGGAAGAGAGATGAGAGAGCAGTGAAGCTGGGCAGACACTCGCTGGACCAAGATGCTGAAAAAAGTGAGACAATGGCAGCTTCATGGGTAAAGGCTGAGCAGAAGGGCTAGAGATGAGGAATGGGAGCAGCAAGGGAGCACTGGGGAGACAGTGCAAAATAAAACGAGGAAGGAGAGAAGATGCAGCAAATCAGTGAGAAAACTGACTGCAGCCTCACCTCTTGGCACTGGTAGATAGCAGCTTAGAGTTTTTACTCATGCTGACTTTGCTTTCCTTCTTCTTAGGCGTGCTTGTCTCTTTCTCTGTCTGTTGGTTGGAGGATGAAGATGAGGAGGAGCTGGTGCTGGCCCTCGAATCGTCATCCGACATAGTGACCCCCCCACCACACACCCCAACCTGGAGAGGAGACACCATGGGGTGTGGGGAACAAACAGTGAACACAAACACACACAGAGAAAGGCTGCTGACAATCTTGCTCTGTGTTTGGGTCACGCTCCTTTTAAAGGGTCCTTGTGTCTCCCTCCTCCTCAGGCCCTACAGCCGAAGCAGGAGGAGCAGCAATAACCTCCCCTGCTCTAGGAACACCAAGGAGCAGGGGAGAAAGGGACTTTGAAAGATGTATCTCAGAAAGCAAGTGCGAAGCGAGAGAAGAGACTGGAACGAGGACGACTGCAAGGATCAGGGAAGCTCAAAGCAATTCCTTCTAATCTCCCCCAAACTGCACACACAAGAGGAGCCATCGACCCACAAGAGGAGCCATCGCCCCCCCCCGCTACCCAGCCGAGGGGTGCAGGAGATAAAAATGGAACAGCTCCGGTCCCTGGGGTTCCTGGGAGGCACGTGGGGGAGGAGGGAAGGGACAGGACTGGCGGAGGGAGGGGGGGGTGACCATCGCCAGCACTAAAATGGAAGTGGGGCATCACTGGCAACAGGGGGGAGATCCTGAAGGAGGATCT